AGGAGCACTGTGAGGAACAGCGCTGTAAGGAGGAGGAGCGCCGTAGGAGGGGTGCCGTGAGGAGGGGCGCCGTGAGGAGGAGCACTGTGAGGAGCTGCGAGAGGCCACACTCAGCAATCACAAGCACAGGGAAGACAGAGGGTCCACCCAGCTCCACACTCTCCTGGAAACTCAGACCTCGCCCCTGGGAGCGGTCTTGGGAAGCCCTGATCTGCAGGGCGGAACACGATGGCTCCGGTGCGGGGGCTGGGCGGCAGCGCCTTCAGCGTCCAGCCTTTGCAACAGGTCTACACACACTCAGCTCCGGCTCAAAAGAGATCCCCCGCCCTCCCCTACTCACAGGCTCGGCTGGAGAGTAGTGACACCTTTGTGACACTTCCTTCCCACCCAGCTGGCTTCCCTCCTCACCAAGCCCCATCAGCCCTATGTAGAGTCTCTTCACAGATTTTTTTGCACAGCACAACCAAGGATAATCCGGCTCCTGGGGGAAGATGCTTCAGCTGCTGATGGGGCAACCACCGGGATGACTGCCAGCATAGCTGAGACCGGAGAGAGTGTCCTGGCAAGGCGACGCTGCCCCCAAGCTGACAAGCAACAGGACTTATGGGCGTTAAGGGCTCAAAAAATAACGCCCCCTCCCCCAAGATCTAGCGTAGTTTTTGGCCAAGAGCAAGCAAGGCCAAGCTTTCCTTCTGCTCTGCACATGTCAAAGCCGTGCCCAGAACCAAGCCCTCTCTTGGAGGAGTCACCGACTCCAGAATTCTCGTGACCCAACCCAGGCGGCAGGGAAACAGCACCTTTAGCGCCTCCCAAGACGCCCAGGAAGAAGGGGGCAGTGGTGCATGGACCTGCCCTGCCCACCCAAGAAAGAATCTGCACTTCACTCTAACAAGAAGGCGCTCCCAGGAACCCCCCTCACAGAAGGCTGGGGGAGCCCCCCAGAGACCCAGGGAGCACGCAGTATGAGGGAGGGAGCAGTAAGCTGTTTGGGATATCAGCACAAGGTAAAAGCGGCCCTCAGGTCTGAGGGAAGAGGGGCAAGGGCCTTGGGGGTCATCTGTTCTGACCCCCTCTCCACAGAAAGCCAAGCCTCTTGGAGCGAGTGGCAACTCCAGCAGCGAGCAGCAGTAAATGGGGTCAGGAATCCTGACTCCCAGCTCAGGCAGATTCCCTCTGCTCCAGTGGGGGACCCCAAA